CATTTTAAACCATTTGAAAGCTACTCTCTATTCCAGACTATGAGGCTGCTCTCTTTAGGGTCTAAAATATGCTTACTTTACCCATCTTTGTTGACACAACCACAAACTTCAGCAAATACTGGAACCAGACTCAACCAGATTCCTTATAAACTTCCATATGTGAGCAAAATTCCCCTTTGATTTTGCCTAATGTTCATCTGCTATAATTTTTACCAAGTTCTAAAAAGGAAATCTAGCATTCTCTATTATGTGTTTTACTGTAAAAGAATAAAATGGCAATTGGACAACACTTACCCATTTCAATCTATAGTAAATTCTGTCTCTTCATCCTCTCAAAAACTTTTTTTCTGGTAGTCATCATTTATCTTTATATCTTATAAGCAGTCCTGCTAACCCATGGAACTCTTTTTTTTTTTTTTTTTTTTTTTTTTTTTTTTCCTGACACCCAAAGCAATGAGGATAATTGGACTTACTCTTGCAGGATAAAAAATAAAAACAGAAGTCAGAGCTTCAGGTTGTGTTGGTAGTTGGGCTACGGGACCATCTTTTTTCTGAAGGAACCCTAAATGTGTTCACAACTGGCTGAGTCTCCACTGGGAGAAATGTGCTGTCCTACATGCAAAACTGAGAGCTCGTGTCCTCTGCCTTCGTCCTCAGATCTTCCTTCAGACTTGGCATCGTGCAGAAAGCCAGGAGCCCTGCCTCGAGAGAGCTGAGCCTCTTCTATCTCAGACAGCAGCTGGCTACGTAATCCTGGACCAATGTCTGGTAACTTCTCTGAGCTTCAAGTTCTATTCAGCCTTCCCTGATTTCCTCTAGTAACAAATTCTTTTTCCCTACTATCCACTCCTTCCTAATGGAACTTTTCACATTTGTGTTGTATTAGAGTTATTTATATACAGCTGCATCTTGTCTATCATATGTAGGCAGAAACCTCAGTTCACACATATTTCTGTCTCCCTCTTCTCTGTACTCCAAGGCCCAGTCAAGAGTCTCAACTTTTAATAGATATCATTAAGTAGTCATTAGATTACTAAATAAAACATATAAATATATTTCACTATGCCAGTCTCTCTTCAAATGTAAGTGGACATAGAAAGCGGGTGATCATAGTTGCTAACAAGCTTGAGACTATCTACCGAAAAAGGAAAGCAAATATTCATTATGAAATTAACAGTGCTATATGATAAAGATAAGCTTATATGATAAGTGTTGTATGATAAGGAATACAGGGATATCAAAAGCTTGATTCTGTTTATAAAAACTTTTGGGAAAAGCAATGTGTGTATCTTGCAGCTGGCCTCCCATGTTGATCCCATAGTGACCCTACTCTTCGGCATGTCCCCTAGGCCAAGTTTAATCAGCACGGAACAAGGTGCTCTCCACCTAGAACAGCTGAGGCAACCTCAGCCTCTTTTGATATCTGGAACTCCAAGCTCTCTCCGGCATTATAATAAAGCACATTCACTACTACTAGTATTAAGAGAAAGGGAAGGGACCTTAAATGTGTGATGAAGTGTCAACCTTGAAATCAGATGGGGGAATTCATGCATTTTAACATGCCTCTTTTGTAAGGTGACACATTCCTACCCAGTAAGGAACAAGGCTGCCAAGGATATAACTTCCTTTCTCAGAATCCAAACACCTTTCATCTTAAAAAGTCACATATGACTCCTCAAGTTTTAAACATCAGCTTCCTTTCACATATGTAATGACATATCCAAGAAGGGCTTCAGAAAGGAGTGGGATCAAAAGACCTGTCTGAAGCCTCAAATGCACAGCATACATTCACATTCACATTCTAGTTATTTGTGCAAAAGGCACAGCCCACAAGGCTTTCTCTGATCTGGCCTAGTTACCCCCACATTCTTGAACACCTGACACATCGAGCAGCTCATCACTATCTGGACATACTGAGCTTCTTCTCAGCTCCTCCTCTTCTCTGCTAGATGAAGCGCTTTAAGCTTCTGCTTTCTGAATCCATTCCAGAGTGAGGTATTTGTCCCTGCATCTGTGCTCACATATGACTTTATTTAGTACTTGGATATCATGTTTGGTTAGTTGTGTATCTGTGTGGCCCTCACCACCCTAGACTTACCCATTTTTCATCTTCAGAAATTAGCATGGTGCCTGACATACAACTGTGTTTATTCATACCTGTCCTCCCACTTCCTTGGTATAGACTTGTCACTTCAAAGTATCTGTGCAGCCCAAGACTAAGAATCTCACAATCCCCTTTTCATCTGGGTAGGGCCATCCAGTCAGCTCTCCCCATGGTATATGAGCAGAAGTGACATTTGCCTCTTTCAGGCCAAGTTGGTTAAGAAATGGCTGTGCCTGGACTTCACTGATGGCGCAGTGGTTAGGAATCTGCCTACCAGTGCAGGGGACATGGGTTTGAGCCCTGGTCCGGGAAGATCCCACATGCCACAGAGCAACTAAGCCCGTGCGCCACAACCACTGAGCCTGCGCTCTAGAGTTCGCAAGCCACAACTACTGAGTCCAAGTGCCACAACTACTGAAGCCCACGCGCCTAGAGCCCGTGCTCTGCAACAAGAGAAGCCACCACAATGAGAAGCCCGGGAACCACAACAAAGAATAGCCCGCGCACAGCAACAAAGACCCAAGGCAGCCAAAAATAAAAATAAATAAATAAATAAAAATTTTAAAAAGAAATGGCTGTGCCTTCTTAACTTTCTGTTTCCCTTTATACCAGCTGGATGTAAAGGATTCCAAGGCCTGGCAGGGTCACAAGATGGAAGGTACCTAAGTTCTTGAGTCACTGCATGGAGGAAAGCCTCCCACCAACTGGAACACCCTCATTAGATTGTTACATGAGCAAGGAATTAACATCTATTGTGTTAAGCTACTGAAATTTGGGGTTTCATTTGTTATAGTAGTTTTAGCCTAAATAATACAGATTAATTCTCAAAATGTGTACTTTATTAAATAATTCTGTGTAACAAACCATGCTTAGTCTCTCTAATGTCTAAATCATATAGCATGGATATAGGAGAGTGAAGGAAAGGGAACTGAGCAGGAGGGAAAGGAGGGAAGGGAGATGGAAGGAAAGAGAAGGGAAGAAAGGAGGGAGGGAGGAAGGAAAAAGAAGCTGTATACAATAAAGAATTGTAGTCAAGCTGCCACCTCAAACGTAAGTTGCCTATATCCTTATCACCAATCAAGTACATTATAACCAGGTCATTTGTTAATTTTGCTGCTGTATCTGCAATGCCTAAAATTTCCTGCGATATAGGAGATGCTCAATAAATATGTGCTGGATTAATGAGTAAATAAAATTATGAATTAATACCATGTTTTTCTTCCTTATAAAATGACCCCAAGAATTCACTCCTCCTTAGGGCTACAGATTATGGTATTCAATCAAGTATAAAATAATTTCTCTCCTCCAAAAGTTTAAAAAACAACACATAAGACTGTAACATTCATCTGAATGCTTATGATGTGCCATGGGCCTTATGGAATCCATGTTCCCTGGAAGCTTTCTTCTAAAATAATAGCACATTGCTTGCTGTTAAAGAGTTGATGCTTAATGGTTGGCTCTGAACTAAATGAAAGAATTGTTCTCCCTTTCTTATCCTAATCTCCAAAATGAGTTACTTATTATTATAAGAATTTTTAGGAAAACTTTCAGAAGATATTTTTGGGGAGAAGAGCAGGGGAAGGAGAATTTTCTAAAACAGAAAAAATAATAATCCTACCTTAATATTGAGTAAAGGGAAAAGATACCACATGTAGTGAAGAGACCAATTTAATCTACATCCTATGGTCCAATGGTCCAATTACTGCAATATATATGATGCTAAATTTTGCCCAGTCCTGCTAATCAGACAGCAGCTCACTGTGTCTGTTTATCTCTAGGCCATTACCCAGTTGTACAGTAAATCTGCATTTCCAGAGATGGTCTAAAATAGAAACCCATGCTGGCTAAATTTGTTTTGGGACATATCAGGCAACAGCTAGAAATTTTTAAATGACCAACTTGTATTCCACCGAGGCACTGAATGAATTGATTAGGGAAAAGCTAAAAATTGAATAGTATTTTCCGGAGTAGGCTAAGGTTAGTGCTGCCAGTGAAAATGTGTAACTACCAAGTGAACGGCTATCAATCAGAGCTGGTTTTCAAATAGAAATATGGAAAAAATGAAATTAAATGGGAAAGGGGAATATCTTATTTTCCTCTCTATATGGCCGTTTCCAACTAGGTAATGATATAATTAATTCCTCAGGAATACATGCAAACTCCCACCACTAAAATTATGATAGAAGTCTTCCCACCAGCCAGAGGTTATTTCTTGGTTGAGACAACCTTTGATCCGAAGATGGACACACACACTCTGAGAGAGCTGACACTCAAAGGACCAATATTGCGTGATTGATTGGTTTCTAATATGGAGAGTGCGGCGCTGCCGTTGAGAAGAAGGGCTCTCTTGAGAGACAAGCCCAACTATTGTTTGGCTGCTCTCATGTTAGCGAGTGCCCTGCGGTAACCCTCATGCTCTGAAATACTCATATTGGTTATTTCAAAGTTGGGTGCGGAATTGTGCTTTCCCATGTCTGTCACTAATGACTTGCAGCTGTTGCTAATCTGTGCCTCTGATTTCCTTTGATTACTATGTGTATTGATGCCTGTGGTAAATAGGCATCTGCCAGGTGCCAGCACAATCAGGGGAAAAATATAAAAAGTTCCCTGTTTCAAATTCAATGTGACATTGTGCAAGTTGAGAGGCAGCCATTTAACTATTCAGAGGAAACAGCTTCCTGGGGCACCTCCGGCCTCCTGGCCAGGGACATTCCTCCCATTCTCCCCACACCCACCCCATGATGCTGATTTTCTTCAGGATGGTTTTCAGCCACGACAGGAGGGCTTCCATTGCCCATGACATCAGCAGAGAGAAATATTTAAGATGGGTGGTTACGACCCAAGTTTCTAGAGAGCATCTCACCCCTCAGCTGATTTAAGCCTTAAAGGACCTCACCTGTTCCATTAACTGCCCAAAAGCTTCTCCACAACAGCTGTCCTGTGTTTTTCCCTCTGATGAACACATCTTTCTCAGCAAAGGCTCTGGGCTGTATCACCTTCTCTTTCAGGAGAACCAGGTGATAATCTGGAAGAAAACAAAGCAAGATGTAGGCTTTCAGTGGAAAAGTGCAAAAGTGATCAGGATCAAAAGCCAACACCTGAGGGTACAATGGCACATAGATTCTTTGGAGCACTTGTGTCTTGCTTTTTTGGTTCTCAGGGAAGCTGCAGACAGAGGTTGAGTTCATCCATTTCTTACTCTAACACAGCAATGTTACACCATAACTTTGAAGAAAAAAAGGAGCCTCTGGTGTCCCCAGGTAGGAGTTTTTCTCCATGGCTTCCTCGACCCTCCTTTACCACAGCGGTAAGAGTGATGATTTTATCATTGCCAGGAAACAGAGCAAGAGGCAGGTCTGCTTTGGAGTTAGTGGTTAGGTTGCGAAGTTAGGCACCTCAAGGAAGGGACCAAAGAATAAAGGCTGGCCAAGTGAAGCCTAGAACATTGAGAGAAAATTTCATGAGATCCCAAGATATACTGACGTTAAATAGGTCATTTGAACCTTACAAAAATCTGATACGAAAATGAGCATCTGATGGACTCTTATCATTCCCACTTGGGCAATTTTAAAACCCAGACTGAGGCTGGGACATTGATTTACAAGCAGAGCTCAGGAATGTCTGGTCTTCTTCCATCAAACTGGAACAAAGTGTCCACTCTAGACATTTAATCCCTGTGGCTTCAAAAATCTGCCAGTAAGACAGTATGCCCCAGCAATAGATAAAAATAGAACATAAATGAAAGAGGACCTCATATCTAAGTCAGAAGAAATAACTAGAAGAATTTAGTAAATGCCCATTAGCCCAGTGATTAAGGGAAACAGATGCATCATAGTAATCATCTGAACATGGATTGTAAGATTCAGAAAGAAACCTCTGAGTTAAGCAAATTACAAGGCTAATAATAAGGGGATATAGCTAATAAATTAGCAAAAGTATGAGTCAACATTCTTAGAAAGAGATATTATATCATTCCCGCGATATTCAGACAACAAATACTTCAAAACTATTTTACTACACTGCATTTATTTAAAGACAGTGGTAAAAAATAAATTTCCCAGATCCAGACTGGAAGCAAGTCAACATCTAAAAGAGTCCTGGGGACGAGGCGAAGATGGCGGAAGAGTAAGACGCGGAGATCACCTTCCTCCCCACAGATACACCAGAAATACATCTACACGTGGAACAACTCCTACAGACCACCTACTGAACGCTGGCAGAAGACCTCAGACCTCCCAAAAGGCAAGAAACTCTCCACGTACCTGGGTAGGGCAAAAGAAAAAAGAATAAACAGAGACAAAACGATAGGGATGGAACCTGCACCCGTGGGAGGGAGCTGTGAAGGAGGAAAGGTCTCCACACACTAGGAAGCCCCTTCGCGGGCGGAGACTGCGGGTGGCGGAGGGGGGAAGCTTCGGAGCCGCGGAGAAGACCGCAGCAACAGGGGTGCGGAGGACAAAGCAGAGGGATTCCCGCACAGAGGATCAGTGCCGACCGGCACTCACCAGTCCGAGAGGCTTGTCTGCTCACCCGCCGGGGCGGGCGGGACTGGAAGCTGAGGCTCGGGCTTCAGTCGGAGCGCAGGGAGAGGACTGGGGTTGGCGGCATGAACGGCTAATGCACCACGGCTAGCCGGGAGGGAGTCCTGGGAAAAGTCTGGACCTGCCGAAGAGGCAAGAGATTTTTTCTTCACTCTTTGTTTCCTGGTGCACGAGGAGAGGGGATTAAGAGCGCTGCTTAAAGGAGCTCCAGAGACGGCGCAAGTCGCGGCTATCAGCGCGGACCCCAGAGACGCGCATGAGACGCTAAGGCTGCTGCTGCCGCCACCAAAAAGCCTGTGTGCGAGCACAGGTCACTATCCACACCCCGCTTCCGGGGAGCCTGTGCAGCCCGCCACTGCCAGGGTCCCGGGATCCAGGGTCAACTCCTCCAGGAGAACGCACGCGCGCCTCACGCTGGTGCAACATCACGCCAGCCTCTGCCGCCGCAGGCCCGCCCCGCACTCCGTGCCCCTCCCTCCCACCGGCCTGAGTGAGCCAGAGCCCCCGAATCAGCGGCTCCTTTAACCCCGTCCTGTCTGAGCGAAGAACAGACGCCCTCCAGCGACCTACACACAGAGGCGGGGCCAAATCCAAAGCTGAGCCCCTGGGAGCTGTGAGAACAAAGAAGAGAAAGGGAAATCTCTCCCAGCAGCCTCAGAAGCAGCGGATTAAAGCTCCACAATCAACTTGATGCACCCTGCATCTGTGGAATACCTGAATAGACAACGAATCATCCCAAATTAAGGAGGTGGACTTTGAGAACACTTATGATTTTTTCCCCTTTTCCTCTTTTTGTGAATGTGTATATGTATGCTTCTGTGTGAGATTTTGTCTGTATAGCTTTGCTTCCACCATTTGTCCTAGGGTTCTATCCGTCCATTTTTTTTGTTTTTTGAGTTTTTTTCTTAAAAAATTTTTTTGTTAATAATTATTTTTTATTTTAATAACTATTTTATTTTATCTTATTTTATTTTATCTTCTTTCTTTCCTTCCTTTCTTCCTCCCTCCCTCCCTCCTTCCTCCCTCCCTCCCTCCTTCCTCCCTCCCTCCTCCCTCCCTCCCCCTCCCCCCTTTCTTTTCTTTCTTTCTTTCTTTCTTTCTTCCTTCCTTTCTTCCTTTCTTCCTTTCTTCCTTTCTTCTTTTTCTCCCTTTTATTCTGAGCCGTGTGGATGAAAGGCTCTTGGTGCTGCAGCCAGGAGTCAGTACTGTGCCTCTGAGGTGGGAGAGCCAACTTCACGACACCAGTCCACAAGAGACCTCCCAGCTCCACATAATATCAAACGGCGAAAATCTCCCAGAGATCTCCATCTCAACACCAGCACCCAGCTTCACTCAATGACCAGCAAGCTACAGTGCTGGACACCCTATGCCAAACAACTAGCAAGACAGAAACACAACCCGACCCATTAGCAGAGAGCTGCCTAAAATCATAATGAGTCCACAGACACTCCAAAATACACCACCAAACGTGGACCTGCCCACCAGAAAGACAAGATCCAGCTTCATCCACCAGAACACAGGCACTAGTCCTATCCACCAGGAAACCTACACAACCCACTGAACCAACTTTAGCCACTGGGGACAGACACCAAAAACAACGGGAACTACGAACTTCCAGCCTGCAAAAAGGAGACCCCAAACATAGTAAGATAAGCAAAACGAGAAGACAGAAAAACACACAGCAGATGAAGGAGCAATATAAAACCCCACCAGACCTAACAAATGAAGAGGAAATAGGCAGTCTACCTGAAAAAGAATTCAGAATAATCATAGTAAAGATAATCCAAAATCTTGGAACTAGAAGAGACAAAATGCAAGAAACATTTAACAAGGACCTAGAAGAACTAAAGATGAAACAAGCAACGATGAACAACGCAATAAATGAAATTAAAAATACTCTAGAAGGAATCAATAGCAGAATAACTGAGGCAGAAGAACGGATAAGTGACCTGGAAGATAAAATAGTGGAAATAACTACTGCAGAGCAGAATAAAGAAAAAAGAATGAAAAGAACTGAGGACAGTCTCAGAGACCTCTGGGACAACATTAAGCACACCAACATTAGAATTATAGGGGTTCCAGAAAAAGAAGAGAAAAAGAAAGGGACTGAGAAACTATTTGAAGAGATTATAGTTGAAAACTTCCCTAATATGGGAAAGGAAATAGTTAATCAAGTCCAGGAAGCACAGAGAGTCCCATACAGGATAAATCCAAGGAGAAACACACCAAGACACATACTAATCAAACTGTCAAAAATTAAATACAAAGAAAACAAAAGCAGCAAGGGAAAAACAACAGATAACACACAAGGGAATCCCCATAAGGTTAACAGCTGATCTTTCAGCAGAAACTCTGCAAGCCAGAAGGGACTGGCAGGACATATTTAAAGTGATGAAGGAGAAAAACCTGCAACCAAGATTACTCTACCCAGCAAGGATCTCATTCAGATTTGATGGAGAAATTAAAACCTTTACAGACAAGCAAAAGCTGAGAGAGTTCAGCACCACCAAACCAGTTTTACAACAAATGCTAAAGGAACTTCTCTAGGCAAGAAACACAAGAGAAGGAAAAGAACTACAATAACGAACCCAAAACAATTAAGAAAATGGGAATAGGAACATACATATCGATAATTACCTTAAAGGTAAACGGACTAAATGCTCCCACCAAAAGACACAGATTGGCTGAATGGATACAAAAACAAGACCCATATATATGCTGTCTACAAGAGACCTACTTCAGACCTAGAGACACATACAGACTGAAAGTGAGGGGATGGAGAAAGATATTCCATGCAAATGGAAATCAAAAGAAAGCTGGAGTAGCATTCTCATATCAGACAAAATAGACTTTAAAATAAAGACTATTAGAAGAGACAAAGAAGGACACTACATAATGATCAAGGGATCGATCCAAGAAGAAGATATAACAATTGTAAATATTCATGCACCCAACATAGGAGCACCTCAATACATAAGGCAAATACTAACAGCCGTAAAAGGGGAAATCGACAGTAACACATTCATAGTAGGGGACTTTAACACCCCACTTTCACCCATGGATAGATCATCCAAAATGAAAATAAATAAGGAAACACAAGCTTTAAATGATACATTAAACAAGATGGACTTAATTGATATTTATAGGACATTCCATCTGAAAAAAACAGAATACACATTTTTGTCAAGTGCTCATGGAACATTCTCCAGGATAGATCATATCTTGGGTCACAAATCAAGCCTTGGTAAATTTAAGAAAATTGAAATTGTATCAAGTATCTTTTCTGACTACAATGCTTTGAGACTAGATATCAATTACAGGAAAAGATCTGTAAAAAATACAAACACATGGAGGCTAAACAATACACTACTTAATAACGAAGTGATCACTGAAGAAATCAAAGAGGAAATAAAAAAATACCTAGAAACAAATGACAGTGGAGACACGACGACCCAAAACCTATGGGATGTAGCAAAAGCAGTTCTAAGAGGGAAATTTATAGGAATACAATCCTACCTTAAGAAACAGGAAACATCTCGAATAAACAACCTAACCTTGCACCTACAGCGATTAGAGAAAGAAGAACAAAAAAATCCCAAAGTTAGCAGAAGGAAAGAAATCATAAATATCAGATCAGAAATAAATGAAAAAGAAATGAAGGAAATGATAGCAAAGATAAATAAAACTAAAAGCTGGTTCTTTGAGAAGATAAACAAAATTGATAAACCATTAGCCAGACTCATCAAGAAAAAAAGGGAGAAGACTCAAATGTATAGAATTAGAAATGAAAAAGGAGAAGTAACAACTGACACTGCAGACATACAAAAGATCATGAGAGATTACTACAAGCAACTCTATGCCAATAAAATGGACAACCTGGAAGAAATGGACAAATTCTTAGAAATGCACAACCTTCTGAGACTGAACCAGGAAGAAAGAGAAAATATGAACAGACCAATCACAAGCACTGAAACTGAAACTGTGATTAAAAATCTTCCAACTAACAAAAGCCCAGGACCAGATGGCTTCACAGGCGAATTCTATCAAACATTTAGAGAAGAGCTAACACCTATCCTTCGCAAACTCTTCCAAAATATAGCAGAGGGAGGAACACTCCCAAACTCATTCTACAAGGCCACCATCACCCTGATACCAAAACCAGACAAGGATGTCACAAAGAAAGAAACCTACAGGCCAATATCACTGATGAACACAGATGCAAAAATCCTCAACAAAATACTAGCAAACAGAATCCAACAGCACATTAAAAGGATTATACACCCTGATCAAGTGGGATTTATTCCAGGAATGCAAGGAGTCTTCAATATACACAAATCAATCAATGTGATACACCATATTAACAAATTGAAGGAGAGAAACCATATGATTATCTCAATAGATGCAGAGAAAGCTTTTGACCTAATTCAACACCCATTTACGATAAAAACCCTGCAGAAAGTAGGCATAGAGAGAACTTTCCTCAACATAATAAAGGCCATATATGACAAACCCACAGCCAACATCATCCTCAATGGTGAAAAACTGAAAGCATTTCCACTAAGATCAGGAACAAGACAAGGTTGCCCACTCTCACCACTCTTATTCAACATAGTTTTGGAAGTTTTAGCCACAGCAATCAGAGAAGAAAAGGAAATAAAAGGAATCCAAATCAGAAAAGAAGAAGTAAAGCTGTCACTGTTTGCAGATGACATGATACTCTACAAAGAGAATCCTAAAGATGCTACCAGAAAACTACTAGAGCTAATCGATGAATTTGGTAAAGTAGCAGGATACAAAATTAATGCACAGAAATCTCTGGCATTCCTATACACTAATGATGAAAAATCTGAAAGTGAAATCATGAAAACACTCCCATTTACCATTGCAACAAAAAGAATAAAATATCTAGGAATAAACCTACCTAAGGAGACAAAAGACCTGTAGGCAGAAAATTATAAGACAGTGATGAAAGAAATTAAAGATGATACCAATAGATGGAGAGATAT